CTTCTCTGATGCAGCTGCAGTGTGTACTCAATTAGGATACATACCTTATGGTTAGAGATACGTGTATAGTGCATAACAATGTTAATACTTATGTTATGTAGGAGCTATTATTCTACCAAGATATTCTTATTATAGATACACTCGCATTTATTATATTAGTGACTTGAATTGTACTGGTGATGAAAGGACTGTACAAAACTGTTCCTATACTGCACCTAAAAAGGGAAATTGTGTAAATACTCCTCTCATATGTCAAAGTTAGTCTGCAGTCCATCTGCTTATGCTTTTCAGGGCCTATAAAATGATTATTCTTTATAGGAAATAATGAGAGTGTTGATGCTACATGCACTGACGGAAGTGTTCGCTTGGTTGGTGGAATCAATGAGCTTGAAGGAAATGTTGAAATATGTCTTAATAAATTTTGGGGATCAGTATGTCATAGTGGCTGGAATACTATTGATGCTAATATTGCTTGTAAGCAGCTAGGACATCAACCATCAGGTAAGAAAATAAGTACTAACATCACAGCTCATCATCTTAGTTTCTAATTGTACATTTACTTCGAGTGTGATTGCATGATTTATATGTGTATCAAAATAGTATCTTGCGCAATAATTAAAATAATAGTCACTATTTTTAACGCAAAGCTCTATATTTTTAAAAATTTAACTAGCATTTAGCTATGTTTATCATTTAAATTTTTGTAAAGGTGAAGCCACCCATCCTTTGACTTTTGTATCATGCAGTCATCATGACAAAGTCAAAATAAAACTAAAGTTGCTTTTGTAGCTTAAGATCAAGGACATGCTGTCTGTGTAAAAATAATGACCAGATTTTATATTTGCAATACCATGTACCAGCTAATAGGCCTGAGGATTTTATTCCCAGAATAAAAAAAGAATAATAGGTGGTCTAAAGAATAAAGAATAATTCTGGAATAATAGGGCAAAATTTGTAAAACTGTGCAGTAGGTGTGGCTGAATGCTTAATAAATCTTGTCTAACACCTTCAAAGATACCCATGAGTGTGCTTTACAAGACTCAATCGAGGCTTCCTTATGATGTTACAGTATAATGAGCATTAAATGAGACAAATTTTGTATAGTTATTTTGTTTATTTTTATAATACTTGGGAATAATAATAGGAATAATAGGCAAATTTATTGGGAATAAGGGAATAGAATAATGGGGACATTTTTGGGAATAATATCCTCAGCCCTACCAGCTAATCATGTGCTATACATGT